TTCACTTTAAAGTACATCTACATTTTTCATTTTTACTTATAGAGATAATTAATGGAAAAAATACCATGCTTAAGTGGAATATTTCTGCCACCTGGTAGAAAAACAAATACTATTAAAGGGGTCATATGATGCGATTTCTATTTTTCCTTTTCTTTAGTGTGTTATGTAGCTATTTGTGCATGTATAAGATCTGCAGAGTTACAAGGCTCAAAGTCTCCCACAAAAGGATTTGTTCTATCTAAAAGAGAAGGCTGATCCAGACCGGGCTAAAACGCCTCATTCAAACACGCCCCCACATCTCTACGTCACGATGTGGAAATATTTGAGTAATGCCCCCTTTAAGGAATATGTCTTTTTTTTTCTCTGTGAAACAAAAGATAAATGTGTCCAAAATGGTTATCATAGTTTTAGTGACAATGACATAAATTAAAAACCAAGTATGAAAAATGTCCAGAGTTTTCATGTTACTAGATTTTTAACAAAAATTAAATTTTAACAAAAATTAAATCAAAAAATAAACCACAGGTGGGGTAAAATGCCCCCTAGTCTAACAAAGCAATTAGCTTTATACATTTAGAGCAAAATCAGAGTAAAGGCAGTTTTAGCTTAAAATGAAAAAGAATAAAATAAATAATTATGAATTACAAAATTATAATAACCTATTTGAAAAATATTGTTAGCTGATGCTAACTGGTCAGCTAACTAGCTACACTATAGGGACAAAAGTATTGGGACACCCCCTTCTAATGAACAGGTTTGATGACTTTAGTCATTTCCATGAGTACAAATCTTAATGTTTAAGCATATAATGATATTAGGGAATTGTGTGCTTCTAATTTTATATCAATAGTTTGAACAGGACCCTTTTCTATTTTAACATGACAATGCCTCTGTGTATAAGGCAAGGTTTAAAAAAATGATTGATTCAGTCAGTGTGGTAGAATTTGACTGGTCTGCAGAAAGCAAAGTCCCAATCCCAGCTGAACACCTCTGGTGTGACTTTAAATGCAGACCTTGAGCCAAAAACACCAATGACTTGTACATACACTATATGGACAAAATTATAAGTACACCACCTTCTTTAGAACAGAAAAAGGCACTTCCAAAACTGTGGCAACAAAGATGGAAACATAATTCATGTATTTAAAAAAAAATTTTCCATCTCTGTTGCAACAGTTTTGGAAGTGTCTAAAATGACTGTACCCATATGTACAAGTCATTGGTGTTGTTTGGTGATGAGTTTTTGGCTGATGATGATTACCCCTCTCATTGAAATCGCTATCTGATTGCCTAATCCTAACCCCTCCCCCACACCTAACCCTAAATTTACCTGTACTAGGGGGTAATAATCTGGTGGGGGTCAGAATTTGGCACAACGCTGGTTTTTGTAAAAGCCATCATTAAACAGTTAGATGGCATTGTCCAATATGCAATAATTTACACAAACTTTACCCCTTGTGTTATCTTATGAGTGTGGCTGATTGATTAAAGGTGTATTTGTTTAAAATAAACAAAAATCATAACTTAACTCAAAACCATAATTGTGTGCTGATCTTAATCATTTTATATCCTATGTTCAAATGTGTGATGTTGCACTGACCAGTTGACATTTGGAAATATACCAACCAGTAATAGCATACTTCCATTTAAAATGTCAACACAAAGACAAGATTAAACATTTCATATTTATTTTGTAAGATTCATAAAATACATTTGGATTTTTAAAAGACAATGGAAATGTGAAACTACATACAGAACACACGTTTACAACTAAGAAATTAGACTATAAAACAGTAAACTTCTTACTCCTTTGAGTGGGTACATTTCAAAAAACAAAATCATACCCAGTCAATTTATGGTCACAAAATTTCACAATCACTCTGTTTGTTCCTGTTTTTCACCAGCCAAAAGTCCTGTCCTGCAATCACCGTATTCCACAGCCAGTACTGCATGGTTCACATTTTATGTACAGGTCAGGCCATTGTAAACTCCTGTGGAGGACAGATGTGAGGCTTCATAAAACCACCACTGCAGCCCTTGTTGCTGTAACTGGAGTAACAGTCCACCAGATTCTGAGGTCAACCAGCTTTCCTGTGGTCTTCATCAGCTGACCTGCAAGAACCTCAACAGAGCTGAATGCCCAACATGAACAGCTCCCTGATAGAAGAGAGAAGCATGAGAAAACTACTAAAACAGGAACAACTTAATGGCTTGTGAAGCTGCAGAAAGAGCATTTTGACCAATCAGTCTTTAGTTCTTGGTTTCTGAATTTCCAACTCATCATAGAGGAAGTTACAGGAAAGGGGAAATAAATTCCCTCAAACACTTGACTGGACAAAAAATATATAAAGGAAATGAAATTAAAGAAAAAACGATTCAGCAGCAGATGACAGCAAGTTCTCTGACAGAGACTGTGGTCAATTCACTTGACATCATGAGAGCAACATCAAAAACATAAAATAAAAAAGACATAAAGCTAATTGAGCGGATATCAGTTAGCATAGTTTCAAACAGACCTGCATCTTCACGCTTCATATCCCTCTACAATCCAGAGAGTCTGGGACAGGAGCCCCAGAAGAGCCCACAAAACTTACTGTTTGCCTCTTAATACTAATATTCATTATTAGGCTATATTAATTAAACAATTTATTGTCAAATAAAACAATAAACAATATTAAATTAAATATAGCTGCAAGCAGCAATTAAGGGGCCAAGCACAAAAGAGGCAAAATGAGGAGCTAATTAGACCAACTAGTTAGACCAACTGCAACAATGAGTAATTAAAGCCATTTATGGTGATTTTAGTCAAAATGGCTGGAAAATCACAAATACAACCTCTAGTAATATGATTTAATGGATTATCACTTTTGACCAATAGGTGGCGCCATTATCAAATCGATGTGTTATTTTCTGTGAGGTTACTATGGTACACAAAGTTTGGTGTCAATATGTCAAAGCTTTGCAGAGATACAGCCTCAGAGTCATTTCGGCATCATGCCTCAAGCTTGTTGTTGAGTTTCATTACAATAGGCTAATGTAATCAAAAGTTTTTAGCATTTTTGAAAAGTTATTATTAATTGTTTATGAATGCTTTATAACTTTTGTTACCAAATTGATGTGGCATGGTCAGTGTGAGGTGACAATGGCACATACACAGTTTGGTGTCAATATGTCAAAGCTTTGCAGACGCAGTTTGGCATCATTCCAGCAAATTCTTTGATGCATTAAACGATAACTGTTTTGTATATCGACACGAAATCCATAACTTTTTGCCAGCATAGTCTGAAGATGATCTGAGTCAAGTTTGGTGAAAATTGGACCAATGGTCTAGGAGGAGTTCGAAATAAAAATAAATTTTCAACATTAATTAAAATGGCAGACAGGAAGTTTGGCTGACTATACTATATATAGCAAAATTGGTATCTATGTTCTTGGCATGACCCAAAGAATATATTGAGACCAGTTTCATTACAATAGCACAATTTATTCAATAACTTTTGGCGACAAGGTGGCGCTGCCCCCAAACTTTTTGAGTACTGTGAGGGCATGGTGCCGAAGACACATACCAAGTTTAGTAACGATACGGTGACATGGGAAAATGTGGTATGGGTCGACTCGGCATGCTGCACCGAATCTAAAGAGACCAGATTTTAGGATTTTAGGCCAAACCATTCAGAAGTTATAAGCAAAAAGAGCCATTTTTCATATCTCTTGACCAATAGGTGGCACTGTGCAGGTAGCCTCAGGTCATGGTTGTTATTATAACACACACCAAGTTTGGTCTCAATATGTTAAACTGTTGCGGAGATATAGCGTCACATCCATTTTTGTGTGCTCTTCATCAAATTCGTTCATGCGTTATTCGAGAACAGTTTAACTAATCAACTTTATTTCCATAACTTCTTGCCAGCATGGTCTGAAGATGATCTGAGCCAATTTTGGTAAAAATCAGACAAACCGTCTTGGACGAGTTCGAAAAAGTAGTTTTTTCGAACTATTAAAAATAGTGAAAGAACTAGACATTACAATTTTTACATTTTGAAGTTTAACCTCTAGTGTTTAACCTCTTCAGATATATTTGAAAGAGTATCTGAAGTGATATTTCCATTTCGCCATCCCACTGATGGGAACCCGTTTGGAGAGGCATGTGCCAGTGGTGTCCATGCGTCAGATGCCATGTCACTTAATGTTAATTCCGGTACTGGATGTAACTGTACCAAAGGGGCCATCCATTCAGGGAGTGTTTGTGCATTACTAAGTTTTTATAGCCAAATTTGCTGGAATAAATCAATGAACACAACAAAAATCACAGCCTTACCTGCAGGCAGAGAGAACATTGTTTGTCTGAGTGTGTGTGTGAGAGAGTGATTGTAGAACATTTATCAGTATAAAGACCAAATGGGAATGACAATCGGAGCAAGAGAGAGGGTCTTGCTGATCTTATGATTGCTTATCCCTCCAAAAAAAAAAAGGTGTTACCTTGTAAAAGGATAGAGACCAAAATAAATGTTAAATATGTTTGTCTCTACAAATATGATGCAATTATGTTTTTCGTTGCGTCATAAATTACACCAATAAAAATTTGATTTTAGCAAACTTGATTGTTGAATCATAACATAGGCTGACAGAATTAATTCTCTCAAGGCATTTTTGGCATCTGGAGTTCCACTTATTAATTGGTTCAGATAAGCAGACTGAAAGGGTAGCAAGTGTTTTCTGTGTCATTTTATGCCATTCTCTTCCTTGTGTTACCTTATGAATTTGGCTAATCAACCAAAGGTGTAAAAATCACAGCAATCTAAATGTCCATCATAACTGGACATTGTGTGCTGATCTTGAAAAATCCTTTAATACCTCATGTCAAACTGTTCATTGTGATGTTGCACTGAATAAAACCAAGTCATTTGTAAACACAAAAAAAGAAAGATTTAAGAAAGATTTAAAATTCTATATTTATTTAAGACATATTAGGAAATTTTTAAAAGACAATAGAATTGGGGGAAAACATATTTAACACATTTACAGTTAAGAAATAAGATTTTAAAATATTTTGATATATTCATAATTTCAACAGGATTTCAGCTACATAACCGGATATCATGGGTATAAGGCGATGCCACACATGTTGTTCTGGTTTCTGGCCATACGGATGTAGCCACCATCTCCAAATCCAGCACCCCAACTGTTAAAGTAAAAAAATAACAATCAGCATTTGTATTTTTTCATCTTAATGTTTTGTTTGAGACAGATGTTCTGATTTTACATGTCTTTGAGTAGGTACATTTCCCAAAACAATATCGGACCCAGTCAGTTTATGATCACACAATTTCAAAAGTCAGCCTGTACCTGTTTTTGACCAGCCAAAAGTCCTGTCCAGCAATCGCACCGTATCCCACAGCCAAAACTCCATGGTTTATCTTTTTGGTGCAGGATGGATCATTGTAAACTCCTGTGGACAGATGTAAGATAATGTTATAATAGTTGTCAATGAAAAATAAATCATTTCAACCCTAAATTTGTAACCTGAATACCTTGATATGGTAATCAGTCTGAATGTGCAGGGAAGAAATACTCACCACTGCGATAAAAGACAAACTGAGGGCGGGTGGCATCAATGGCCACTGAAATGGGCCCGATGTTGGCAACAGCTTGCTTCAGGGCCTCCTCATCTCCTTCACTGACGTAATAGTACTTGGTGCAGTTTGCTGCACGCTGGGATGGATCATATCTGCACGGCCCTTGCTGTAGGACACATTTATTTATTATTATATTCATAATGATAATGGATTGCAGCTTTTTTAAAATGTACCAAACACTGATAAATCCATCAATGTAGAGACCTGACTGCATATGTATTACTCAAATCTCACAATAACAGGTCCTGTCACTTCTAATATGGAATGTAATCTCGTCAGGTTTTTTTTTTAAACACATGGACCCATGCAAACAACATACCACTCCTTTATAAGGGTAAGACGATTCTGAGTCTATTCCCCCATTATCAATAACATACTGGAAGGCATCAGTCATCCATCCACCATTGCAGCCCTTGTTGCCATAACTGGAGGAACAGTCCACCAGATTCTGAGCGCTGAGGTCAACCAGCTTTCCTGTGGCCTTCATCAGCTGACCTTCAAGAGCCCCAACGGCGCTGAATGCCCAGCAAGCACCACATGCACCCTGACAGAAAACAGAAAAGCATGATAAAATTACTAAAACATGAAACATTTAGCATTTATGCTACATATAATAGATACTAGCACAGATTTATTGAAATACTAATAATGTAAACTAAATAAAATTTTGGTCTCTGCTGGTCCATTGAAAGGAACAGAAATGCGCTTTTCTAACAAAAGGCTACACAGACACAAATCTAAATGAGCAAATAACAGATTTTATTCAAAATATGCAGTATAATCATACCTGGTTCTTCACACTGGAGACATATCCCTTCTCTCTCCAGTCCAGAGAGTCTGGGACAGGAGCCCCAGAAGAGCTCACAAATTCTGGTTTCTCTCCCACAACTCCCTCCTTCCAAGCTCCTCATCCTGCCAACATAAACAACAGACAATTTTTAAAAAAGCAATATATAAAATGATAGACATCACTAATCAAAACTGTCACGATCAGGGGCGGTTCTAAGATTTCAACCTCAGGATTGCTTGGTCCTCAGAGAGAGATACAAAGATACAAATGACCTAAATAAACAGTACTTTACAGTGCTTGTGAAAGCTCTATTACAGTATGAAGTAAATATACACAAACACCCGTTTAAGATACATAAGTTACTTAGTTAAGAAGAGTGAGTGTTCTCTATTTTTCGTTTGTTGTTTTGATTAACATTATTAACATAAGAAATGCACAGATCCAGTATTTTGACACACATCTAACATTTTCTTAACCGTACGTTTACTTAAGATGTTACCAACTGTGTTTTAGGGATGGGCGATATGGGCTTAAAAATATATCACAATAATTTCTGGTATTTATTGCGATAACGATATCAATGATGATAATTCAGGGAATCTTATGCATCCACCAAGAGACAAATTATTTTTTTTTTAATCCTGTTTTTTTAGAGAAATAGAATCTTTTCTATTTTTACCCAAAATAGGGTGTTGTGAGCATTACTGAGTACACAAGTAATGTAATGACTGTTTAATTCATACTGGAAGCCAAAGAGTGCCCTTGCGCACAAACTCCACATATGCATAGCAGAAGTAATTGCACTGACGACGCTCCAGGAAATCCAGGCTGCATCCGAAAGCCTAGGCAGCTGACTTGCTGCCTAGCTGCCTTATCAGGCAGCGTTTTTCCACGAAGGCACCTCATAAAACTGATTTCGGATAGGCTTCTGAGGCAGCGTAATGGTTTAATGATCTACAACAAAATAGAACGAGTTTTGATGATAACTAAATGAATATTTAATTACTATAATAATGATTTCTCGCTAGAAATAACATCAAAAGTGCACAAAGTTAGTCAGAAATATACATTTACAGACAAACTGTCCACCAAACTCAACTTTCAGATGCCATCTTTATATTTTTAGCTCAACTGTCATGGAATGAAATGCACAGGATTGTGGGATATCAAAGGCAGCGAAGGATACATCTATCCTGCCTTCAAAATTCGATCAAAAGAAGATACCTCCGGAGACAGGAAGTGAAGCAGAATTTGTATTCGGACGTGCCTTGATGCCTTCCTGCCTTTAGAGCTTTCGGATGCAGCCCCAGTTATTGCTGTAGCTGAATAAAACGCAGATAGAGCAATTTTAACTGAGGAAACTTGAAGACAATAAACATACGATTGCGACAATATATGGTTTATCTGTATTCTTCAAGCAATCTTGGGTATTTTTTTATAAGGATAAAGTATATCTATAATGCAATGCTAATCGACATAGCCTTTATCACTATATATAATACTATAAAATAGTATTCTGCCTCATTCTGTGATTTGAAACCATGTCTGATCACAAAAAGTTATTTCAAATGCTTGACTTATGTTACTAAGTTAATTTGGAGAAAAAGCATGTCAATAAATGTTATGTGACACTGCTTTCACTGCCTTGGTGATCTCAGCTTTGGTGGGTGGGTTGGTGTTAACATCCAGTAGGCTGTCTGCTGGAAAAATAGATGGGGGTTGCTCCGGAGGAGATCTATTGAGAGTTTCTTCTAAACAGCACAAATTTACTCGCTGTTTGCCATGGTGGATTGATTTGATCCATGATTGACATTAAGGGCTTCTTAAGCTTGCAAATCAAATTATCTTGACTCATTGAACCTGGATCAAATTAGTGAGATTGTGTGAACTTAAACTGTCATTTATGGAACTGCTTAAGCCCTGATTTATTTGTTAGGTTATTTCAAGTCAGGTTTTGGACTTTAATCCCTGCTTTTCCTAGTGTATTTTATGAAACAGGCTTCAGGTCAGTTTCCCAGCATAGGTTGCCACAGTGACTGAGCTTGATCTATGTTAATAAAAATAATAATCTATAATCTATGTTATAAAAAGAATGCACATCACACCTCTGTTTATCAATTTGCACTGGCTACCAAATAGTGCTCGCATAAAATTCAAGGCATTGATGTTTGCCTACAAAACCACCACTGGCTCTGCACCCCTTTACCTAAATTCATTACTTCAGACTTATGTGCCCTCTAAAAGCTTGCGTTCTGCAAGTGAACGTCGCTTTATTGTGCCATCCCAAAGAAGCACAAAATCACTTTTATGGACTTTTAAATTAAATGTTCCCTCCTGGTGGAATGACCTGCCCAACTCAATCCGAGCAGCTGTCCTTAGCCATCTTCAAGAATCGGCTAAAAACACATCTCTTCCATCTTTATTTGACCCTGTAACTCTAGCACTCTCTATTAATTCTATTCTTAAAAAAGAAAAAAACACTTGTCCCTTTTAGACTTGCACTCTTGTCACGTTTCGCTGTTGAGGAAGCACGCAGGAGGCACGAGTAAACGAGAACGGTCTTTAATCAAGGAAACTCAGGAGATAATCCACAATAGGAGTTGGGCAAACACACATAGAAACAAGTAGACCTGACAGAGACCGACTGCACATACTAAGACTTTTAAACAGGGCAATCAGGGGAACACAGGTGACATCAATGGAACATCATCAATGCGCTCTGGACTGGATTCGGGGACTGGAGCCCTCTCCTCTTCGGTGTGGCACATTCGCCGCGCCATACTCAGCTCATCCTCAGCCGCGGTGCAGGGGACGGAGCTCCTCTCCGTGCTCACACCGTCCGCGGCTTTCTCCCTCGTGGCTGGCATTGTCGCCGGCTCTCGCACCTGATCTGACGGATTGAGCTCCATGTCCAGGGCGATCCTCCGCTCAGTCGCTTGGCTTTGCGCTGGCTCGTCGATCGCGGCGTGAATTGGCTCTCCGTCATCGGTGGGCTCGGGCTGATGCTCCGCACCGCGGGGAGATGGTGGGCTGGGCACTGGGTCTGGAGTGGATCTGACTAAATCATCCACGGGGCAAGAGGTGGATGGCGACCCGTTTCTCGCCAGAGTCCACTCCACGAAGGCGACGAAATCCTCTCGAGGACCATC